TGTGGATGTGGCCATTCTGCTGTTAAATCACTAATATTCAACAGCATAACACAAGAAAATTCCGTTTTAGGGCCCTGGTGACAGCCAGTGAATTCCCTGCTCTCCAGAGAGCTGCTAGGCAGAAAGATGGCCTTGGATTCCCTGACTGGGTGTCTATTACCTTCCATTGCAGCCTAACTCCTCACTCTTCCTGCTATGAATCAGCCTCCCTGAGCAAGAGGCAATGGGCTTTGTGGGCTGCAGGAGGCCAAGAAGCTCGAGGGAGGGTGGGCTTTCAGGGACAGGCGCTTTGCCCTGCCCGCGGCTGGCCCTGTGTCCTGGGAGCTGCACAGGGCTGCGATTTTCAACTCAGTAAGAACTCATCAGAGGCCCCTCTGCCTTCCAGCCTCTCCTCCACCACTGTGGTGCTTTCCCCAACATAGGATGTATACTTGACTCAAACAAGATTACTTTAGGCTTGATGGAGACTGATAGGGACACCTTCCTCAGATATTATCAGGTTTCCCAATTCAGAAAAAAACTACAAAGCTCTATTTTAAGATCTATTTTTTTAACCCCAAAGGTGAGTTTGTTAAAAATACAACATTAACTTAATAATCATGTTGGTGTCCCTTGGCTGAAGTAAAATTTGTGATGGTGATTTGCCGGTGATTGAGCTGGGGATGCTGCTCTACTGGATGAGGACCCAGGTGAGCTTCCTGCACACCCACCCACCCCGAGCACTTCACAGTCCAGCAGACCTGGTCTCGAGGCCCCAGCTCCATGTTCAAAGCCTCTGGAAAGTTTTCTCCTGTACAATCCTGCTTCCTCTTGGAGCATGCAGGACGGGACTGAGAAAGGAGTCTGAGGTGGGCGGGGGTGGCCTCGGGACAGGTATTTGTCCTGCTGAAGAGCCCACACCACAGCCCCACAGGAGGCAAGCACCCAAGGACAGGACCCAGCATGCTGGGCACTGCCGTGTCCCTAGCACCCAGGGCTGTGCCTGGCACACAGGAAACGTTCAGTAAATAATCCCAGAATGAATGAGAGAATATGAGACACACACATACATGCAAGTACACAGAGAGGGAAGGTACAGTCTCCCCAGCTTCCCACAAGCTTCCCAGGTCCCCTGCATCTGCATGAGTTTACAGGTTGTGGTCGTGTTTATGGGGGCTTCCTAACATGAGCACACATGTACTCAGAGAGTCTCAGGCCCTTTTCACAGGTGGTCTCCTGAGGGGTGTGGCCACGCCCAGGGCACAGTTTTCTCTGTGAGTCTGAGCAAAAACAAACTTGTCGGGAAGATACACTAACACCCCGGTGGACAAGGGCTTCCCAGGAGGGGCTCTTCCCAGACCCGCACAGCTGGACTAGCTGAACACTGGAGCTGGTGGGCTTTCCTGGCTCTCATGGCTCACAGGTGGGTGGGGCTGGGGACACCCCAGAGGCAAGTGTGGGCACAGCTGGGCACAGGCCTGGGCTATGAGCCTCAGAGTCCCTTAGGGACATGGGTGATCAACACATTCATGTAGGCGTCGGGGCTGAAAGAAATGCCTGAAACATTTAAAAAAGCCAAAGTAAAGTTTCTGGTTCTAGTTCAAACTGGTTTGAAAAAAACGTATTAAGTAATGACAAACACTGAAGATCACTCTCACGCCCGCTGTTGAGCTGGCCTCCTCACCTCTGTCACCTCCCCAGTTATGGATGCTCAGGCTCCAGACTCCGCTAAAGGCTGAGGCCTGGGGCAAAGCCGCCTGCTCCCAGCCTTTTCAAGCCCACAGCTGCCTGCCAGCTTCTTCCCTAATTCATTTGCATCTTTCTGTCCCAGGTTCTTTTGTGACTGTCACTCATTCACCCCACAAACAGAGCCCTATTGCTTGGCAGCCATGCTCCCAGACCTGCCAGGCGCACCCGTCTGTTAATACACCAGCCAGTTATGGTGTGAGTGCTTCTGGCAGGTGGGCAGGCATGGAGGGAGGTGCAGGACCCCAACAAGAGCTGATGCGGCTGGGCTCAGACTGGATTTGGGTGATGTCTAGAAGGGCCTCCGGATCCTGGTGCTGGCCATGGTGTGGCCCTGAGCTGGGAGAGCCTGCCGGCCACGGCAGCGCAGACAGGAGCTTTGGAGTCATCTGGGAGCTGGTGGTGCCACAGGGTGGCAGGAGCACAGTGTGCGAGTGGGGAAAGAAGGCTGGTGGGAAGGCAGTTGAGCCCTGTGAGCCCTGAGGGCCACGGGAACCATGGGGCTGCCCACGGAATGGCTGAGGGGATAAAAGATCAGTGTGAGGCAGCACTGGGGTGAGCGAGCCTGAGCTGAGAGGCAGTGCTGGGAGGGGCGCAAACAACTGGATGGCCAGGAAAGTTCAAGTCAGACTTGGCAGGCTTGTGGGATGGGATGGATGGGTGGATGTGGTGGGGGCAAGGAAAGGGTGTCCAAGAGGCCTTGTGGCACTGGGCTCAAGCATGGGGTAGACACCTGTGCCAACAGTTTAGAGGAGGTGGTAGATTTGAAAGAGGGGAAAGCATACTGGTGGAAAGAAATTGGAACTAGCATTAACTGAACATCTACTGTATGCCAAGCACTAAGCCAAGTTTGCACATATGATCTCATTCAGTGTGTTCAGTCCATGTGACACAGGGGTCTGGGAATCATTGTCCAGACCCATTCAGTGCCATATCACTGCCACGTCAGCTGTCACAGCAAGAAACGCACAGGTAGAGCTGGCTGAGACCTGCCCGCAGCTCACTGTACAAACTCTCTTCTTGCTGCCCACCCTGCAAACACGCCCTCCACCCATCAGCCCAACCACTCTGAGCTGAGCTGGAACACATCAAGCTAACAGGCCCTCTCTGAGGCCAAGGCTCACAGGGCTGGCAGTGGGCTGTCCTGTCTGGAGGTGATGTGCTCAAGGAAGAGCCGATGATGATGATAGAGCAGGGCCTGGAACCCTGACTTTTGAACTGAGCAGGTCACTTGATATTGGAGCCCCAGTTTCCTCATCTTGAGGTAGGGATAGTAATTCAAGCCCTAGGAAGAGGGCTGAGGGGGTCACGGGAGGATGTGAGTAAAGGCCGAGGCAGCTGTCATTCTGATTCCTCATGTGTGCACAGTGGGCACTTACGTTTGGTGACTTGACCTCTCCTGCCCTCCTGGGACACCTGCCCGATCAGACCCTTGGGCCGTGGCTTCTCTGTGCCACCCACCTTGAGGCCTTCTTGGAAAGCAGGTCCCACTTGGAGGTGGCTGTATGAACACAAGCCGCCGGTCCTTACTTATGTGTCACTGTTGCTGTTTGGGTTCTAATTCTGACAAGTGGCAAGGATACACAATCTCATTTATGCCTCCCTGTTGCCTATGGGGAATGCCCACAGGGAAGGTCAGAGACAGAAAGAGGGCAGCACGTGGATCTGTGTGCTCAGGGGGCTTCACTGCACACCCTGTACACAAACTTCACACCCTGGACTAACCCCATCCTGGGGGAGCTTGGGGGTGGCACAGACAGATCAGATTCTGGGACAATACCCATGAGAGCTGGTATTGGGAGGACTGTAGTGCTTCTCCCCAGCAGCCCTCTTCTGGGCGACAGGGGTTGCTCAGAGGGCCTCAGGAACCACAGGCATCCAGAGAGACTTCCTGGAGGAGATGAGATCTCAGCCAGGCCTTTGGAAGCAAGGGGCTCAGCTTTGCTGCAGCCAGTAAGATAGAGTTGTAGTACCTAGTGTGAACACAAAGCCCAGGGCAGAGTACTGGGGGCACAGGAGGGGCTGAGGGGTGCAGGGGCCCACTCTGGTCTTTCAGCCCTGCCTGGCCCTATAGGACTGCCTACAGCCTGGGCACCATGCTGTCCTTGTTGGGTAGGTCTCCCTGCAGGCCTAACTGCTCCCTGCCGTCAGGGAGCAGAAAAGCCACCCAGGCAGGGCTTGAGGAGAATGAACTTGCAAGGGCCACCTGCTCGCCCCTGGCTGTGGCTTTCAGATCCACCACCTGGCCTGGATCCCTGGATTGCCCTAGGCTGGGCTCCAGGACTAGCAGGTATAGTAGTGTTGACTGGGGGCACTCAGCCTTCCCTTCCCCCCACAACAGGGGGCTCATGCTGAACCAGGGACTCACAGACAGGCACCCCTGTGAAGGCAGCTGGAGGACAGCACTGGTGGGAGGGAAGAACTTGGTATCTAATGGGCACCAAGAACATCTATCCAGAACACTTGATCTCCTGCCCTGCCATTCATGCTCTGCCTATGGCCTCCCAACACAATTACTAATAATCCGTCCTTAAGTACTCAGGCCCAAATCCCTGTTGTCCTCGATGCCCTTCTTTCTCCCTAACTCAACATCTGATCTGGGAACAAATCTTGTGGCTCTACCTTCAAAATCTACCTGAAACATGACCACGTCTCTCCACCTCTACAAACTGGACCTCCCCACACCCACCTGCTTCCACCTTGCCCCTAAATCTATTCTCAGATCAGTGGCCAAAATAGGATTCCTTTTAAGCATGAGTCAGATCTTGTTACTCTGTCCAATCACCTCCAAGGGCCCCACTCACTCTGCATGAAAGCCAAATTCTTACCAGGCCTGGAACTCTGGCCCTGCTCTGCTCCTGCCCCTCATCACTGCTTGCCTGCTGGGTTTTTCTGAGCTCAACAGGCACTTGCTGCCTCAGGCCCTTTGCACTTGCTGTTTCCCCATGCCAGGATCACTCTCCCTCTTTCAATTCTTTGCGTGTGTTATCATTTTCCCAGTGGGGACTTCTCCATTTCCTCATTCAGAATCATGCCCCCATTCTTCCCGGGGCTCCTGATGCTGTTCTGGCTTTGACTGTCTCTTCCCACCATGCTGGAAGTTCCATGAAGGCAGAGATGAGTGTGTTTTGTTCCCTAGGTGTTTGCAATTTCTAAAACACTTCATGGCCTGTGGTGACTTGCTTAAATATTTTTGTGTGTTGTTGAGCACTCCTCAGCCGCAGGGGTGTCTGTCAGCACCCCCTTCTTGTCCCCCACCTGAGCCCAGCACTCACCATCCACTGGATTGAGGTAGTCGTGGAGATGGGGTGCACCAGCAGGACCCCCACTCTGCATCAGCAGGTCCCCGTATGGTGTGGGGTGGCCTGCCATGAGGGTCATCTGGTGGTAATAGTCTGAGGGGTTGGTGCCTGGAGGTGGGAGGCCAAACAGTCCCCTCTCTTTAAGGTGCTCGTGAGCTACTGTGGGCAGGAAAGAGGGATACAGAAGGAAGCTGTCAGAATCTGGTAAAAAATAAGAGAAACATATACCTGCCCTGAGGGGCCTCCTCAGTGCCCTTAAGTCCCAGGCCCCTGCCATCCCCGACCCTGCTCCCTACCCCACCACGCTGGAGCAGACAGATCCTGGCCTTTGCATTCCTTCATTTCCTCAAAGCTGTAAACAACTGCACCCCTACCCCCCAACTTCACCAGGCCCCACAGAACCCAGAGCTCCAGGCCCACAGGGTTCTGGCTCAACAGAGTCTCCAAAGGAAAAGGAAGATGCAAATGAAGACACCATGGGGGCCAAACAGCAGGGCAGGGCCAGCCTGCCTTAGCACTAAAGGCAAGATCACAGGTAGGATAAAGCTCCTCCCCTGTCTGTAGCTGCAATCCTGGGGCATCTGCTTCCAGCCCTATATTCAGCCCTGCTAGGGACTTAGCACAGAGGCAGGAAGGACAAAATGCAGAGTTTCCTGAGGAAAGAACAAACCTACCTGGGCTTTTCCCAGGTGTGCAAAATTGGGAAGGTACTACCTGTCTGAGCTGGCTCAGTTTTCCATCTGTCAAATGGGGGTAATGACACCACCACTCAAATTACTATTAAAACTGATAGTAACAGCCAGTGTTGTGCTGGGCCCCACTGGGTCTGTGCAGGCACAGCACTGAGGGAGCCCTATCACCCTTTAATTTCACTGAGCCAAGGGGAACCATTACCATCCCCCCAGCAGAGAAAGACTGGCACTGAGAGAGTTAAAGCTCTTGCCCAGGGTCACAGAGCAGGGAGTTTGGAACTTAGAGGCCTCTCTGCTATTAGTCTTGGCAAACACCAAAAGAGGGCTCACATGCAGCAGGCAGAGAAGCGGCCAGTCCAAGGAGCAGCTGGCCTCCTCCACTTCCTCCTCCTCACTCTCTCCTGCTGTATCCTCTAAAGAGTCCTAGCTGCAGCCTCTGCCTGTCCTGTGCATGCCTAAAACACCGTCCCCTCCTCCTGTTTGCCTGTCCACTCATCCCAGAAGTCTTCCCAGAGTACACATTTATCCTCAGCACATACAGTCTGGCAGACACTGCTGATGAACTTCCGGGGCTGGCCAGCTGCTGTGTGAGCCCACCTGCTGTCTCTACTCACTCGGAGGCTTGGTCCAGGGCCAGCAAGGACTCAGGGTATCTGGCCCAGCCCTTACAAGAGTCAGGGCCATGCAAATCAGACCCTCTGGTGCCAAACATCTCCTGCTGTCTCAAGACCCTGGGGTTGCAAAAAGTGGGTACGTGATTACATGAAAATCAGGCAAAAAAATATCAATGTTCCATCAGTTGAAAATCTCTCTTTCAAGGGCAGCCCTGTCTCCCCATTTAGCTCTCCATAGGCTACATTGCTGTCAGCCAAGACTACACTGCCCTTGATTCCCCAAATCTCCAAGAGGACACTATGTTCCTTGTCCCTCCCAGACACCTCTCAGGGCCCTCTCTAACCCAGGCCTCAGCAGAACTGATAGGCTCTGCATCCTCCCCAGTAAACGTGTTACTCTGTTTATTAGTTTCTGAGGGCTGCTGTAACAAGTTAGTACAGACTTGGTGCTGACTGCTGTAAAACAATAGAATTTTATTCTTTCACAGTTATGGAGGCCAAAAATCTGATATCACAATGTTGGCAGGGCCACACTGCCTCCAGAAGCGTCAAGGGAGAACCTGTTCCTTGCTTCCTCCAGCTCTTGGGGGTCACCAGCTTCCTCAGCTTAGGGTCCCTCACACCCATCTGTGCCTTGTTGTCCTATCTGTGCATCTCTCGTAAGGACATTTACTTCTCATTGGACTTAAGGCCCATGTGGGTGACCCAGGATGATCTCCTCAACTCAAAATTCCCAACTTAATCACATCTGCAAAGGTCATTTTTCCAAATGAGACACCTCTCAGCTTCCAGGATTAGGAAGTGAACACATCGTGTGGGGGCATCATTCAGCCCAGTACCACCACATGAGAAAGTCAAGGCCAGGGCAGCATTTGGGAACTAGCCCACATCCTCATGCTCTAGGTCAGCCCATTGATGGCCAGGTCATTAGGAGATATGTGGTGAAGCACAGACCCACTTTCCAGGAGTAGGTCAAGGCCATGCAGGGGACCCACACAGAGTTCAAGGCTGGGTTCCAACCTGAAGGGCTAGCCATTTTCATGTCCCATGGCTGCATCTGTTCATCTTGCCTGGTTTCTTTTTGGTGAAGATCAGGCAACATGCAAACTGCACAGCCTGGAAGAGAGCCTTTCTGTACATTGGAGGCCAGAATTCTGAAACCCCAGCCTGGGCCTTCGTAAGCTTCAGCTCCCAGTCACATCCATGAACTGGGAAAGGATATATTCCCTTTGGTAAGGATGGACGGTGAGATGCGGGGCCCACTGGGACCATGTTACTATAGCATCTGCTGTGGGCTCATAAGTGCATGTTGTATACATCCTCCAGACTGGAGGAGGCTCTAGACTGAGTGGGAAGGGTTTGGTAGGCATATTTTGAGAAGATGCCACCTGGCTGTTTTTGAAGATGGCAGCAATAAGTGGCTAACAGGCACTGTGGGGCAGCATGAGGCATGGATGATGCCTACTCTGTGCTAGGGATGGGGTGGGGCACTCCTCAGGAAGACAGCATGGGTGGAGCCAGCTTCCAAACAGGCTTACTACTGTCCAGTGTGAGTGTGTGTGTGCATGTGTGTGTTTGCATGTACATATCAGTGGTGGGCATAGGCTAGAAGTATAAAATTTTAGACCAAAATCATATTTGTACCATGTAAGCCTGCCCTTTTCTGTCTCAAATGAATTGGGTGGAGGTGGCCATCTGATCTCTGAGCTGGGCCAATCAGTTCTCTCCCAAGCATCTCACCTGAAAGACACAAAGCCACTGGTGCTCATTCATGGAGCCTTAGGGCCAGGGTACCATTTGGAGGCCTATTGACATGCAAGGGGCACATAGATCAGGGATGCAGGCAGAAACCAACCTGCTCTGCCTTCCTTCTGCTCTGGGGACCTGTGAGATCACCTGATATAACACCACTTTACTGGACCCCAGCCTCTGTAGATTTTGGTTTATTGCAATCAAATAATTCTCACCTAAGATAGGACCTATGTGAACAAACCCTATCATTATTATTATATAATCCGCATGCAAAAGGGTATTTATAAGCAGCTCTTTAATGAGCACAAAAACCAATGGACCCCAACTTCTCTTGGCCTTCACTATTCATTTATTTAAAAACCTGTTGTTCAGGGGTAGCAGGGAGGAATGCCAGACTGCTCACTATCTATGGGGACTGAAGCTGGGGAATCAGCAGTGTTAGTGTTAGTGGCCTGGCACCCAGAGCCCCAGGCCCTACTCACCATCAGCAGGGCTGAGGCCTCTGGCTGCAGAGATCGTGGGGAGTGTGGGGCTGCTGTGCACAGCACGGAGGTAATGCTCCATGTGGGGGCTCACATACGGGTGGGCAGCGTTGAAGGGGGACTCGCCCGGGCCAGTGGGGTGTGGGGATAGCCGGATCAATGAGATGTCAGAGATGACAGGGCTGCCACTCAGAGCAGGAGGCCTGCAGAGAAAAAGGGAGCATTCTAAGAAGGCATGGTGTGCCTCAGGAGGATGTGCAGGGAACCCTGCCAAGCAGCAGAACCAAACATGCAACCAGTACTTTTTATTATATGTGCCAACACCCCTGGGTCACCCTTCATGTAGTCTGAACCCTCCTACATCAGGCAGAGAGTGCAGGTTAAAAGCTCCTTCATGCTGGCACAACTGCCCACTGGTTACTCTGGTGTTGGTGATGGAATTCTCTGCACACGTGATTGGATTTGCTGGACCATGGGCTCGAAGAGCCACACACATGTGACCTGTCACCATTGCTTCTCCAATGCCTGCTCAGGGATGGATGCATAGCAATAATAAATAAACCTCTGTTAAGTGAACAAATGCATACCTTCTGCAAACATGTATGAGAAACAGAACACAAAAATGCTAACACCAGAATCAGAGGAAAGATGGCAGCGTGAGTAGTGTGGCAGAAATCCTCTCAAAACCACATATATTTTGAAAATACAGCAAATACAACTATTCCTAAAAGAGTGACCAGAAATAACAGTACTCCAGCCAGTCTATATCTGGGAGAAATATACATCTCACAGAAAAGGGTAAGGTAAAAAGCCATGACCTGGTGGGACCCGAGCACTCCCCCCACCCCAGCTCACCAGCAGTAGGAAAAGAATCAGAGTGGGGAGGGAGTGGAAGCACAGCACTGCTAAATACCCGGCCCTAGAAATCTACCCTGGGAGCACAGACCCACACTGCATGGTGCTCTGGAGATTAGAGGGGCTAAAAAGCAAAGTCTGAGACTAAGACTGCGAACAGGTTCCCACAACTGGCTGCCCTGGGACAAAAGAAAAGCAGGCGCTTTAAAGGACCTCTCAACAGTCAGAGGGCTGCAAAAGGGGTAAGGGTTTAGGAGAAGGAACATGTGGATAAAATCGTCCTGGCACACTCCACCCAACAGGCTGGGAACTTTCAGGAGCTTCAGGCGCGCTATCCCCCTGGTTGGCAATGCAGCCCCGAGGCTCCTCACTGCAATAAGCAGCCTGCCACTCCTTCCTCCTCACTGGCACCTATGTGCAAACCGGCTGTCCCCATCATTGCTGCAGACCAGCCAGAGGTCAGCCCCACCTACAGCTTAAAGCAGAGACTTCTTTCTGCGCACAGCTAACTGGCCCAGACCCACAAGCTGCTCCCTGTGTGCGGCTGACCGGCACAGACAGCAAAGATGGGCGCTGAGACCAGGAGCCACTAAGGGGCTTTGTTACTATGGCAGAACCCACCTCCCATGCCTGCAGCTCTCGCCATTGCTCTAGGCCATCCCGAGGACCACCCCGCCCATGGCAGTTTAGGTGATTAATCCAGAGACCTATCCCTGCAGAAAGTTAACCAGCACAGACAGTTGAGACAGGCAAGCAGGAAGGGACTTTGTCCTCCCAGCTGACACCCACGCCATTTGCTGACAACCACTCCCATCACTCCAGGACTATGAAAAGGCAGAAGAACCTTGTTCAATCTAAAATCCCTCAAACATCAGAAAGAGAGCTTGGTGATACTGAAATTACCAATCTTCCTGGAAAAAAATTCAAAATAAAAGTCATAAGCATGATAATGGAGCTACAGAAAAATATTCAAGAGCTAAGGGATGAACTCAGGAGGGAGATAATTGAAATGAAAAAAAAATGGAGGTATTTAAAAACAGACTAGGTAAGGTAGAAGAGACAGTGGATGGAATAGAAATCAGAGAACAGGAATACAGAGAAACTAGGCAGAGAGGCAGAGAGAGAAAAAAGGATCTCTAGGAATGAAAGAATATTAAAAGACCTGTGTGACCAATCCAAATGGAACAATATTCACAATATAGGGGTACCAGAAGAAGAAGAAGAAAAAGGGATAGAAAGTGTCTTTGAAGAAATAATTGCTGAAAACTTCCCCAATCTGGGGAAGGAAATAGTCTCTCAGACCATGGAAGTCTACAGATCTCCCATCACAAGGGACCTACGGAAGACAACACCAAGATATATAATCATTAAAATGGCAAAGATCAAGGACAAGGACAGAGTAATAAAAGCAGCCAGAGAGAGAAAAAAGATCACCTACAGAGGAAAATGCAGCAGGTTCTCAATCAGACTTCTCAGCAGAAACCTTACAGGCCAGAAGGGAGTGGCATGATATATGCAATACAATGAAACAGAAGGGCCTAGAAACAAGAATGCTCTACCTAAGGAGGGATTAAACAATTCCAAGATAAGCAAAAGTTGAGGGAATTTACCTCCCACAAACCATCTCTACAGTGTATTTTAAAGGGACTGCTCTATATGGAAGTGTGCCTAAGACTAAATAGCTGTCTCCAGAGAAAATAAAACCACAGCAAAGGAAGTAGACCAACTAAATACTAACAAAATGCTAAATTAAATCAGCTACCCACAAAGTCAGTCAAGGGATACACAAAGATTACAGAATATGACATCTAACATATAAAGAGTGGAGGAGGAAGAAAAAGGGAGAAAAAAGAATCTTCAGACTGTGTTTATAATGGCATAATAAGTGAGTTAAGGTAGACTGCTAGATAATAGAGAAGGTGCCCTTGAACCTTTGGTAATCATGAATCCAAAGCCTGCAATGGCAAAAGTATGTATCTATTGATAATCACCCTAAAGTAAATGGACTGAATGTACCAATGAAAAGACATGGAGTTACAGAATGGAAAACAAAGCAAGACACATCTATATGCTACCTACAAGAGACTCACTTCAAACCCAAAGACATACACAGATTGAAAGTGAAGGGACGGAAAAAGATAGTTCATGGAAATAATAGGGAGAAAAAGCAGGTGTTGCAGTACTTGTATCAGACAAAATAGACTTCAAAATAAAGAAAGTCACAAGACACAAAGAAGGACATTACATAGTGATAAAGGGGTCAATCCAACAGGATGATATAACCATTAGAAATATCTAGGCACCCAACACAGGAGCACCTACACATGTGAAGCAAATAATAACAGAATTAAAAGGGGAAATAGAATGCAATGCATTCATTCTAAGAGACTTCAACACTCCACTCACTCCAAAGGACAGATCAACCAGACAGAAAATAAGAAAGAAGACAGAGGCACTGAACAACACATTAGAACAGATGGACCTAACAGACATCTATAGGACATTCCATTCAAAAGCATCAGGGTACACATTTTTCTCAAGTGCCCATGGAACATTTTCCAGAATAGACCACATACTAGGCCACAAAAAGAGTCTCACCAAATTCAAAAAGATTGAAATTGTACCAACTAACTTCTCAGATCACAAAGGTATGAAACTAGAAATAAATTGTACAAAGAAAACAAAAAGGCTCACAAACACATGGAGGCTTAACAACATGCTCCTAAATAATCAATGGATCAATGACCAAATTTAAACAGAGATCAAGCAATATATGGAGACAAATGACAACAACAACATAAAGCCCCAACATCTGTGAGGCACAGCGAAGACAGTTTAGGGAGGGAAGTATATAGCAATCCAGGCCTATTTAAAGAAGGAAGAAGGATCCCACATGAATAGTCTAAATTCACAATTATTGAAACTGGAAAAAGAAAAACAAATGAAGCTTGAAGTCAGAAGAAGGAGGGACATAACAAAGATGAAAGAAGAAATTAATAAAATTGAGAAGAATAAGCCACTAGAGAAAATTAATGAAACCAAGAGCTGGTTCTTTGAGAAAATAAACAAAATAGATAAATCCCTAGCCAGACTTATAAAGAAAAAAAGAGAATCTACACACATAAACAGAATCAGAAATGAGAAAGGAAAAATCATGACAGACACCACAGAAATACAAAGAATTATTAGAGAATACTATGAAAATCTATACGCTAACAGGATGGATAACCTAGAAGAAATGGACAACTTTCTATAAAAATACAACCTTCCAAGACTGAACCAGGAAGAAACAGAAAACCTGAACAGACCAATTAACAGCAATGAAATTATATTGGTAATTAAAACACAACCCAAGAACAAAACACCTGGACAAGACGGATTCATGGCTGAATTTTATCAGACATTTAGAGAAGACATAATACTCATTCTCCTTAAAGTTTTCCAAAAAATAGAAGAGAAGGGAATACGTCCAAACTCATTCTATGAAGCCAGCATCACTTTAATACCAAAACCAGGCAAAGACACCACAAAAAACTAAAATTACAGACCAATATCCCTGATGAATGTAGATGCAAAAATACTCAACAAAATATTAGCAAACCGAATTCAAAAATACATTAAGAGGATTGTCCATCATGATCAAGTGGGACTCATCCCATGGATGCAAGGATGGCACAACATTCGAAAATCCATCAACATCATCCACCACAACAGCAAAAAGAAGGATAAAAACCACATGATCATCACCATTGATGTTGAAAAACCAATTGACAAAAGTCAACACCCATTCATGTTAAAAACTTTCAACAAAATGGGTACAGAGGGCCACTACCTCAACATAATAAAGGCCATATATGACAAACCCACAGCCAACATCATACTTAATAGTGAGAAGCTGAAAGCTTTTCCTTTAAGATTGAGAACAAGACAAGCATGCCCACTCTCCCTGTTTTTATTCAACATAGGAGGTCCTCGCCACAACGAGACAACACAAAAAAATAAAAGGCATCCAGATTGGTAAGGAAGAAGTCAAACTGTCACTGTTTGCAGATGACATGATATTCTACATAAAAAAACCCTAAACAGGGGGCGGAGCCAAGATGGCGGTGTGAGTGGAACAGCAGAAATCTCCTCCCAAAACCACTATATTTTTGAAAATACAACAAATACAACTCTTCCTAAAAGAGAGACCAGAAGACACAGGACAATAGCCAGACTACATCCACACCTGCGAGAACCCAGTGCCTCATGAAGGGGGTAAGATACAAGCCCCAGCCCGGCGGGACCAGAGCACCCATCACCGCAGCTCCCAGCAGGAGGAGAGGAGTCAGAGACGGGAGGGACAGGG